AGTCATAAAATCAGCCACAGCTTTTACACATTCGCACTCCTCTGATAACACAACCTTCACAAATGTGCTTCTGCCTCACACTGATTCTGAGTGACCTCCATAACAAAACCTTTCCCCTACTTCACAAACGCATTGCACATTTTGTTCTATACATTCTGTCAATCATGTTTTGCAATTTCCATGGATCAACAGGAATAAAACTGGATAAACGGCGCCTTAGTGTCCTTCCAGATTAGGTTTTTCTCTGCTCGATGACTTCTCGCCACTTTGCCGAAGCTCAATCCCATTAAACTTGAGTGGCAGTGGCGGTTACTGTGTAAATTATGGCCTGGTAATCCTTGTGAAATTTGCTCAAGCCGGCGTGGCGTTTGTGGATGTGCAAGACGGGGCCTTATTCAAACAGTTGCAAGCAGCAGACAGTGGTGAGACAGAGCAGATGGACCAAACAGAGAGTCCTGAAGGTATTGCCCAAAATGTTTCTTTCACAGTAAAACCCTTGAATATTCACTCCTCCAGTCGCCCCCTTCACTCCTGCCCTCTTTGTGAGCCCCGGTTTAGCCTCCTCAAACAAAGCCGTGCCCAGTCCACCTCCTCTGCATGTGGTTATAAGTCAAGAATTTACACTGATTTACACTTTATATGTAATGGTAGTATTTTGTAGCCCGCAGTACTTCTTAAATATCCATGTATTATACTGTATATTTGACATTCAGAACGGGTGAGCCATTGGATTTACTGTGTATCAATATTTAAAGGAGCAGTATGTAAAAAATGTGGCCAAAAGTGGTACTGCAGCCTATTCTCCCTGACTCAGGTTGCCAGATATGCAGATGAATCCAGCTGGGACCATAACAGCTGAATAGACAAGAGTTTTATCAACAACATATCTATAACAACATATTTTTCTCAAAGGTCCCAATAGAAATCCTCGTTTTATTACTTCCTTGTTTTGTCATTAATGATTTGAGAATCATACCGAGACCTTTTTTTTAGTTTTGCCGCCACATGGTATTCGACCAGGGAGATTAGCTTGATGCAGTGAGTTCTGGAAACCCGAGTCACGGACTTTCTGATTGGTAAAACGTTGGAGGGCAAAGATTTAAGGGCTGTAAAAGTGAAATTGAAATGGAAATATCTCGGCTGAACTACCGTTATTAGTTAAAGAAGTATTGGAAAAGACTATCGTTTTTTAATGCTTTTTGACAGATTAGCGCCATTTAATGATGACTTGACATGAAAATCTTACATATTGCTACTTTAAGTCCATGTTTTGGGAAGGGTCAAGATAAACCAATATTATGTTGTCAGAGAAATACTTTGGGCTACAAATAGAGATTTCTTATGTTCTGTAATTTCTCCTATGGACTTGCAAAGTGGGTGGAGCGACATGGTTCAGGATAAGAAAAATAAGTATTATAAAAGATTGGTCATATCTGGTGAGTAATGACCACAACACCTTCATAAAAAAAACTCATTACAAGATTAAGTCAAATTTTACGGCTGCAACCACAGTTCAAACAGCAGTCGTCTCAGGAGAATTTGTCGATTCGCCAACAAGAGAACAGCGAATCAAACCGTTCGAACAGTTAGCAATAGTAGTTAGCAGGTACTAGCTTCCGTCGTGTCTTCAAACTCCTGAGAGAACTCCTACGGGGATTTTGATTGGGGGATTTCGCTTCCGGAACCATAAGCTCCGCCCACTTCGCAGCTCCATTGACGTATGACTAATCTTTGTGCAATGTATGTGCTCTGTCACTGAAAAGCTGATTGTTGTTGTGCTCCTTTTTGTGTGTCCCTCGTATCACTTCTTTTCCCAGATCGAATCAACAACAACATCCAAATTGTTTTCTACAATGTCCAAATGTATCTCTATCTTTACCTGGAGTTTGCTTGAAAATCCCATGCAGAAACGCTCCCCAAACATCGCTAAAACCTCTATTAGAAAATGCAGCTTTTCGTAACAACTCTGCCTGCTCTGCGGTGGCCTTTGTCATCTAAAAATATGCGTATAATCCCTCCTGCTGTAAGCTTGTGTCTCTTAATACGGGTGTAGGCAGGCGGCATCCCACTGAAATGTGTGTCAAATCCTCATAAAAATACACCTACTAGGGTTTAGGGGAGGTTCAATTCTATTTCAATTCGTTTTTTATTTTTGTATAGCCATAAATCAGTGGTCATCTTGAAAGACTTTACAAAGCTGTCGATTCGCCAACACAGATCAGAGAATCAAACAGTTTAAACACAAGAAATGCAATGATAATAACCAAGATGCAGTAAGTGATGTTGTTAGCTTAGCCGTAGCACCGACTTGAAACCCCTCCCCCCTCCCCTCGACTCTCCACCGAACCAAACATCCAGCATTTTCCTTTCTTTGTCACAACAGAGAGAGTGGGTGGCAAACACGAAATTGGCATTTTCTGTTCAGCCCTTTAAGTTTTTAGAAAATCCGATAACTCAGGTGTGCGCACTCGAGAGAAACAGGAAGAGGGTGAAGGGGGTAAACGCATCCCATTGGTTCGTTGGGTATGAACGAATCCCATTGGTTCATGTTTATCGGTCCGCTCCAAAATATTTTTTATTAATTTTTGGAAAATTCCCTCACTATATGAAAACACATGACCACTTGACAACTTTTAAGGTTCAGGGACCATTTGCCCACAATATTTAAAAAAAATGCGTCTGGAAAAAATTACCGACTGCATCTTTAAGCCATTTTTTCCATAAAAGGAAGATGACAAATGTCCATAAATTCTAATAAATGTCCATAAATGTCGTTTGAATGTCGAGTGTCCTGGTCCTCAGACCCTCCTGCATCGGCAAAGAAAACACACTAAAAGCCCAGTGGGACAACAGTGAGAAACCTCTATGTTGGAAAAACATAATTTAGGCGCTACAGTATACTCCCACAGAGATCTAACAAAAAAAACTTGTATTCTGTCCTAGTGATTATGCGTTGCCCTGTCATTGAACCCAAAAGCTTGTGCTCCTTTAGGGCCTTACTCATCTCCCTATAGACCCAGACATAAAAGCACATCCCGTGTTGTTCAGAGACCTCGGTAAGCCTTCCTTTGGTGTCTCCTTTGGTGCTTCCTCCTCTCCTCCCTCCCATCCCCTCTGATTACTCTGTTTGAATCGATTTTTCGTCCTCGTTCCACAGTGGAGACCGGGCCCTCGGTACCGGCGGCCCCTCTGCTGCAGCTGGAGAAGTGTTGCACCAGGAACAACAGCGCCACACTGGCCTGGAGGGTCGCTGCAGCCGTCGGGAATCCCATCGAGGGTTACATCCTGGAGCTGGATGATGGAAGTGGAGGACAGTACAGGGTTAGTTTCAGGTTTTGGGTGTTTTTTACACAAACACCCAACATTTTGTGGTGAAATTGGTTTAGATCAAGAAGCGGGAATAATGAAAACTTAAATAAACGCTTGGGTGGAGATCTCTGGAGTTCTCAAGACACACACACACACATGCATATCAAAAGGTCTTAGTTGGTATGTTGATACAAATATACTGCATATGTCGCATTATTTCCTGATGTTTATGTGAACAGTAGAGAGACACAAGGAAGGTCCAGGAAATATGATGGACTTGTTTGTACGTGTTCAGTTCTGTTGTCCGAACAGAGTTTATTGACTTATTATTTTGACTCCATCAAGTTTTAGTAGGGATGTTGTTGTCATAATAAATTAGACTTTCCAGAGTGCTTTGATCATTACAAGTCAACAGCACGTTAAAACATTAATTAAAACAGTCGTCTGTCGGCTTTGTTTTGCTCCATCAGCTTTGGTGCATTACAACATGAAATGACTAACAGATGAAAGATGAAAAACTCTTGCACACTGTCTTTTTAATAGGACATTGGTATTTTTCTTTCCTTTTTGGATACCTCAATACATTCTGCCTACTACACATGTTCAATTAAAATAGCTTACATTAGCGACACAAACACATACGGCCCTATAACAGGATTTGATGGGTCCCGCTTAAGCCTTGGCTGCTCCCATTCTCTCTCTGTAAAAGGGTTGCGTTCATGTTCTAGAATTCTCATACGGTTAGAAAGAAGGCAGGTGCAGTATATGTCTGTGAAGGGAAAGAAACCATTTTTGGAAGACATTTTTCCGAGATCATGATTTGATAGATTCACAAATCCATCATGATAGTCTTATGTCTGCAAGTCCTTTTTACTGGCCGACATCATGCGTTGGTTTTTCAAACATTGTCCCCACCTCGAGACACCTTTATTGGAACAAATAGACTGACCAAAGTTTATATAAGTTCTTAAGATATGGCACTTTGTAACAGTTTTTTGTAGATCAGTGCGGGAGTTACAGTCAAACTCTATAAAATAACATTAGACTTTGGATTTTTGACAGCGACCATAGTTCCCAGGAGAGATTTTTCAGCTGCCCTCCACTACATTGCTTAACTACAGACTCTTTGGAATGTTGTGATGTCACATTAATGCAACCTGCTGTTCCAAACATGCTGTGGTTTATGTCTGAAGGATGTGCCGGGATTGTCAGATTGTCTTTCCTTGTATGACTTTTTTTTCGTGTTTGGTTAAGCACTTTCTCTATAATGTGGTCAGGAGGTGTATGTGGGGAAGGAGACGGTGTGCACGGTGGACGGGCTGCACTTCAACAGCTCGTACAACGCCAGAGTCAAAGCCTACAACGCCATCGGAGTGGGAGCCTACAGCAAGACCGTGGTGCTCAAGACCTCAGATGGTATGATCGCTGATGCTGGTGAAGACATTTACTCATTTATGCTCAAATGTACTATGTGTGATGAAATTATAACTTTGTACATGGATAATAATAATAATAACTATGCATCAAACTTAAATAACGCCTTTCGGACACATTAAGCTGGGTTTTGAGAAGTGATTTAAAGTTTTGTAGTGAGTCAGGGTTCCCTCGACAGCTCGGCCAACCAAGGCTCGGAGTTTAGCCCTGATGGGAGTGAGGAGGTTGGAGGCTGTGGATCTAAGGAGGCAGGCGGGACAGTGATGATGGAGGAGGTCAGTGAGGTATGAAGGGGCAGGTTATGGAGGGTCTTGTAGGTGAGAAGAAGGAGGACCTTATTGGACGGAACAGGGAGCCAGTGGAGTTGTTTGAGGACAGGGGTCATGTGGTTTCTGAAGCAGGTGTGGGGGAGCAGGAGGGCCGCTGAGTGCTGGATGTTTTGTATGTTTTGTGGAAGGGAGACCGTGGAGGAGGCTGTTGCAGTAGTCAAGTCTGGAGGTGATGAAGGCGTGAACCAGTATTTCAGCAGTGGATTGTGAGAGGGAGGGGAGGAGGCAGGCAATGTTGCGAAATATTTTGGAGATGAGGTTGATGTGGGGTTTAATAATGCAGAGGTTGCACACAGAGGGCGAGGGAGTGACTGTGTGGTCGTCAACAGTGAAGGGATAAGCTTTTTTTAGGGCATATGTTCCGACGGCGTTAGCTTCATGTCTTGACAGAGACAGACGTGTTGCTAAGATAGATGGATAGATAGATTCAGATTCAGATTCAGTTTATTTGCCATTTGCAGTAAAAACACCACATAGGAATACATTAGCAAAAGTCTCCAGTGTGCACAGACAAATACAGACATAACACAACATTAAAAGACTGTTCACACTGATAACAGCTTGTGGATAAAAACTGTTAGCGTAACGAGATGTCCTGCATCTCAGAGAGCAATATCTTCTGCCAGAGGGAAGAAGCTGGAACATGGCTTAGATAGGTACTTTATTATTGTTCTGAACCCTGAACATTGTAAAGCGCTTTGGGTGGCCTTGGTCTGTAAAATGCGCAATATAAATAAACATTACTTACTTACTTTATTGATCCCCGTAGGAGAAATTCAGGTGTCCAGTGGCAGCAAAAATAAAAATAAAATTATATGGTTGCTAAGGCAAGTTGGCATTTCCCCTGCGAATTACATCAATCAATCAAAGTTTATTTGTAGAGCGCCTTTCATACACAGGGCAACACAAAGCGCTTCACAGTCCACATCACAAATCATCACATAAAACAAACACCAGAATCACAATTAAACCATTAAAATCACACAAAATATTAAAACCATTAAAACTTTCAAAATTACACAAGAAATTAAAAAAAAAAAAAAAAAAATGACAACAGTGCATTAGAAATGGAGATAAAACCCTTCAGTTGTATGCACAGGCAAACAGAACAGTCTTTAACCTGGATTTGAACATTGACAGAGTAGACGCCTCTCTCACATTTTCAGGGAGATTGTTCCAGATTTTAGCAGCATGAATCTGAAAAGCAGCCTCCCCATGTTTAGTTCTGACTCTGGGCGCTAACAGGAGTCCAGTCCCTGTGCTCCTCAGAGTCCGAGCTGGTTCATATGACACCAACATGTCACTAATATATTTTGGTGCGAGGCCATGGAGAGACTTGTAACAAGCAGAGCTGTTTTAAAGTCTATTCTCTGAGCCACAGGAAGCCAGTGCAGAGACCTGAGGACTGGACTAATGTGGTCGTACTTCCTGGTTCTAGTCAGGACTCGAGCTGCTGCATTTTGAATGTACTGCAGCTGTTTTACAGCCTGTTTGGACAGACCTGTGAGCAGGCCATTGCAGTAGTCTAACCTACTGGAGACAAGTGCATGGACAAGAATCTCCAAGTCTGCCCTGGACACTACATTTCTAACTTTGGCAATGTTCTTCAGATGGTAAAAAGCTGTTGATGTTATTGATTTTATTTGTTATTGAATTACATCTGATTGGCTCATGTCTGGGTTTTCCAAGAATGATTCAAATCAATGTATTTTTGAAAAAAGCGATATTGAGTGAGAGATCTGCTCCCACGGATGGACAGGCTGTAGATCCAGGACTCAGGCTGTAGAATGAGGACTGAGGCTGTGTGGTGCAGGACTGAAAAAGCCTGGGAGTCTCCTCAGTCAGGGCGGCTAATATCAAAATATAAACACCAGGAACAAAGAGGGCGTTAAACTGAGCTAGAGAAGTGTTTTAGTGCCAATAGGAGCCAGAGCGAGTTGGAGCAAAACGTTGTCCATGAACTCATTGAGCTAGCGGTTAGCATTGTCCCTCTGTATACAGTTTATCTATGGGCTTGTTAATAGTAGATACCAACAGTAGTTAGCAGGTACAAGTCTAGGCCCTTGTCTTATTTTCACAGTCTATATTTTAACACAAAGTTTGGTGTTTGGAAATGAATGTGGGGGATAATGGTGTGATATAGAACCAGGCCGAGAGGAAGCTTCAATCGGAATAATATAGAAAGAGCAAACTGAGTGACAAAACCATCTGTAATCAAACCAGGAGGAGGAGCAGAGTCTTCTTCCTCTTAATTACTCAGAACAATGAGCCGTACGGTCTGGTGTGTGGCTGATAACTCCCCCAGTCTCTCCTCTCTGTTTGCTTCAAGAAATAGTTAAATTTCCTGGATTTTTAGAACGTAATGCAAACTGTGGTTAAAATATTGTTATAATGCAATGAGTACAAAAGGTTTGGTTTTGGAAAAGTTCTAAAATTAAAACTAGCGAATCTTTATTTGTGTAATAATCAATCAATACAAAGGCAACACAAAGCGCCTCACAATCCACATCAGATCAGGCATAAATCATAAGCATTAATAAATACAATTAAAATCCCAAAGGGCATTAAAAACACACAATGAGATCACACAAAAATTAAAAAGATAAAAAATAAAATCACACAAGTAGAAAGGCAAGACAAGTTTATTGGTATAGCACAATTCATACACAAGGCAACTCAAAGTGCTGAACAAGACAAACTAGCATTAAAATCATAAATAATTACAGTACATTAAAAATAATTAATTAAAAATAAGCATTAATTTGCGGCACGGTGGCTGAGTGGATAGCACTCTCGCCTCTCAGCAAGAAGGTCCTGGGTTCGAGTCCCGGTAGGACCAGGGCCTTTCTGAGTGGAGTTTGCATGTTCTCCCCGTGTCTGCGTAGGTTTCCTCCGGGTGCTCCGGTTTCCCCTACCACTAAAAATATGTACAATAGGTCTGGCATGTGCCTCCTGTACTGGCGACCCTGCTCCCAAAAATAACAATTGTAAACCGCTTTGAGACTCCGATGTGCAGTGAAAAGGTGGTATATAAATAAAGATTACTTACAGTAAATACTCTCTCTCCAATATCTTTTTTTCTGTCAGGATATAAACATTGGCTAGTGCAAGGGTCTTCTACCTGTGGCTCGGGTGCTACCAGTAGCTCCCCAAAGGATTCAAGAATTTAACACAATCATTGCTAATCTATTTTAACTACAAATCTTGTCATTAATGCAGGGATACTGTACAGTGTGTCGTACATTATGTGTGTGTTCTCAATGATCGGCTGAAGTTATCATACAGACTACGATTGCGCTACGACTGGAGTAGCTCTCTGCCATTTTTGTTTTAGAAGCTGTTCAGGGTACACACTAAATGGCAGTTAATTAGCTATTAATTAGTGAGGGCTAATCTAAGGTGTTACTTAATATTTTTGTGTGCATATTGCAGTTGCCTGGTTCACGTTTGATCCCACCTCCGCTCACCGCGACATTGTTCTGACCAACGAGAACCAGACAGTGTCCTGCAGTAGCTATGACGACCGTGTAGTGCTGGGGACCGCGGCGTTCTCCAAGGTGTTGTAACCGTTTACTTTGACATATACACGGAGACATGTCACACATTCAGTTCTTCTGGTTTTAACGGAGCCTCGCCGGATGAAAGAAAATGTGTTTTGATGTAACCTCAGGGCGTGCACTACTGGGAAGTGACAATCGATCGCTATGACAACCACCCGGACCCGGCGTTCGGAGTGGCCCGCATCAACGCCACCAAAGACATGATGTTGGGGAAGGACGATAAGGCCTGGGCCATGTATGTGGACAACAACCGCTCCTGGTTCATGCACAACAACTCCCACACCAACAGGTACGGATCACAGGTCTCCCACAGGTCACCCACAGGTCTCCCACAGGTCTCCCACAGGTCACCCACAGGTCTCCCACAGGTCTCCCACAGGTCTCCCACAGGTCACCCACAGGTCTCCCACAGGTCTCCCACAGGTCACCCACAGGTCTCCCACAGGTCTCCCACAGGTCTCCCACAGGTCTCCCACAGGTCTCCCACAGGTCTCACACAGGTCTCCCACAGGTCTCCCACAGGTCACCCACAGGTCTCCCACAGGTCTCCCACAGGTCACCCACAGGTCTCCCACAGGTCTCCCACAGGTCTCCCACAGGTCTCACACAGGTCACCCACAGGTCACCCACAGGTCTCCCACAGGTCTCCCACAGGTCTCCCACAGGTCACCCACAGGTCTCACACAGGTCTCCCACAGGTCTCCCACAGGTCACCCACAGGTCACCCACAGGTCTCCCACAGGTCTCACACAGGTCTCCCACAGGTCTCCCACAGGTCACCCACAGGTCTCCCACAGGTAACTGCCAGAACTCTCAAAGCAGTCATTTAGACCGCCCCCTTTAAAGTCAATGGAATTCTGGAAAATAACCTCATAAAAGTGAATGATTTTTCTGTCAATTTTATCAAAAGCAAGTAATTTATATGTTTTTTTTTTGTTCTTTTTTTTCTTTCTTCAGATTTAACACTAGGACTCCCACAATTAATTGAATAAAGTAAAAAATAAGTCATTTCGTTTTTTGTCTTAAATACATTAAATAGAATATTGCAAAATGAAATTCTAACTACTGCAAGTAAACAGTGTGTTGCTATGGAAACTATCACTTGCTCCAAGCTGAGATTGCTTTGAACCAGTCTAAACAGATCAATATAATTTCATAAACATAATGCTTTTATTTTGAAGTTAGGACAGTACATATTCATCAATGTGTCTGCAAACAACGTCAACATAAATATGCTGTAATTAGCATCCATTGTCCTAAGGTAGGTAAGAAACACACAAACACAGTTAGTAAAAGTACAAACAACAAGTCAACAAGCAAGACAAAGAATTTAAAAGAGGAGAGAAAGAGCAAGAGAAAGAAAAAGTCCAAGGAAGAGAAAATTATCAATGGGAGCATGACTCGTTTGATTTCAACCAATGTTTGAGGACTCCTTTAAATGTTTGGTAGGTTCCACAGTTTCGAACGTGTTCCGGCAAAGTGTTCCATAATGTTGTGCCTCAATAAATTGGCTGAATTTAGTCCTGCGCCTTTGTATGTTACAGTCTCCTCTGGTTAGTGCTCTGGTTCTGACTCCACGGTTGTTTTTTTTACATTATCTAATTATAGAAATAAACCACATATTATTTTTTTTAATAATATAATCAAAATAATTACACTTCCAAAGTGAAAAGCCGTCATTTGTCTGCTCTGGGAGTGATAAGTGCTAAACCTGCCGAATATAACAGGTTGGTGAAAGGCTAAATGCTTACAGCCTGTTGCTATGGTAACTAGCACTTGCTCAGCTCTAGTGCAAAGCTTTAACTGGCATATAAAGTTGGTTCTGTGAAAGTAATAACACAGAAATTAAGTAGTAAGTATTTGCTTGACTATAAGCCGCTTCTTTAAGTTCTTTAAACCCTGTGGCCTATATAGGGATGCTGCCAGTACAGTATATGTTTTTGTATACTGTTAGAGCGCCCCCTGCAGGAAGTGTTTGATCACAGATGTACGGGAAATACACAGGACTTGTTTTTCTTTGTTTAGAGAGTTAGAGTCAGAGTTATTATTTTGACTCCAGTAAGTTATAGTAGAAATAACCTTTTGTCGAATAGCTTAAAACACATTTTTAGGCCCACATTAAAAGACGACACTATTGTTGAAACGTGTATGTAAAATATTCATCTCTTGATTGCATAAATAAGTCCTTCAGAAGCTGCTGGGTGCTTCAGAGTAAAGAGAGTACAGTTTCTGATCCTATAAAACAACGACAGAGTGAGGGATCCAGAGCAGCAGGAGGCGGCGTTCGGGAGGTGCTTCCATTCGTTCATCTTTGTGTGAATAAAGCCTCAGATCTGCAAGTCAAAAAAGGCCATCAAGATGAGATGACAGGAGGACCCCCGGAGTTTGAACAAAACCAGAATGAAACCAACGGGAGGAGGCTGCAGGCTGCACATCCTCAAAACCAACACAGAGCAACTATCAGAGGCCCTAAACCTGTTTTTTTTGATTGACAGACCTGAAAAATTTACATGTTTTAGCTCAATTTGACGTTTAAAGTGTGAGATGTGAGTTTGACAAACACAGTGAGAAACGGACATTATGAGGACAATGGTTTTTTTTCAGATTTTTTCCTGAACTAGATAAAAACTTCTGTGTTTTCATGTTTTTTTAATTTAGATTTAGATTTAGATTGGGACAGGACACATTCATCCACATGTGTTTTGTGTTTTAGCCTTAAGCACTTCTCTCTGGGTATCGAGGAAAGCTTCTTGCCCCGGATCTTAGGCTCAAACACATACAGTACTGCTTATTTCTTATTCAAAGTACAGTAACAAAAAGTCCAGTGTTGACTTTCCAGGTAAAGGAAAATCATAAAGAGCAGAAAGTTAAAACAAATCAAAGGTTTAGAGAGTTCATTTTTGTACAGCCCTAAATCACAGCAGCAGTCGTCTCGGAGGACTTAAACCAATTTGTCGATTTGCCAACAACAGATGAGAGAATCAAACAGAAACACAAAAATGACACACACATAGGAGCCATTGGTCCATTTCTGAGACCGCACACAGATTTATAAGGCACGTGTAAATCCGAAACGTATGAATGTGAAGCCTATGGAAACACGCAGAAGGATTTTAAAAGAAACATATTCAGCAAATTAAATGTGGAAAATTCATTCTGTCTTCTTATGTTTACGGCTTTTTAGGTTCTTCTAATAAGACAATTAAAGCAAAAAGGTCAAGGACCTCAAACACTCAAGGTTTGTCAATATCCCAGATGGGCAATACAGAAAGGAAGACAACAGGTACTAAACAAACAGATCACACAAAAACAGAGAAAAAAGCAACCACAAAAACACAACGAACACAAAGACATAGTCACCATACCATACATACAAGGGGTCACGGAGCAGATACAGAGAGCACTCGGAAAACACAACATCAATGCAATAATCAAACCACACAAGAAGCTCAGACAGATCCTCGTTCACCCAAAAGACAAAATACAACCGGAAAAAAAGTGCAATGTCATATACGAAATACCATGTAGAACTTGCAATAAAACATACATCGGGGAAACGGGGAGAGCTTTCAGCACCAGAAGAAAGGAACATCAAAAGGAATGCAAAAAAGAAACGGCAGAGCGACTAACAAGAGCAACCAAGGAAAAGGCAACACAGGAAAACCTCAAATCAGCAATATCAGACCACTGCAAAAGAGAGAATCACATCATGGACTGGGACAATGCAAAAATAGTAGGAACAGAAGAACATAAATACAAAAGATGGATACGAGAGGCGATCGAAATCAGGAAGCGGGGAGCACGGACCATCAACCGAGACGAGGGGGCCTTCACCTTGGCTCACACTTGGGATTCACTTCTCCAAAGACCACAGCGCGGCGGGGGACGTGGTCAGTCTGATGTATCTGTGAGATCTGTCAGACTGACTGCTTCCGGCAACAACAGCTGATAAGAGACGCGTCACATCATCACGTGTCACCTCTGATGAAGGCGGAAGTGTACCGCCGAAACATGTCAGGTATTTAAGCAGTACTAGCTTTTTTTTGCTTTAATTGTCTTATTAGAAGAACCTAAAAAGCCATATTCAGAAAAATGTACTTTATTGAACCATGATACAACATTGTTCTCTGACATCACAGACAAATTGAACGAGGTTTGGCCATTTCTCAGGTGAAATGTCGTTCTTTGCAATTACGTGGCAGTGGATGCAGTCGGTTATTATCACATTTGTAAAAGAACAAAATCAGATCTACACTTTCCTTCGGCTAGGAGCACATCGGAAGAAAATATTTATCTTTCATACTTTCATCATACATTAATAATTTATGTTCTACTGTGTGTACATGCTTGCCTTACATTATCTACTTTAACTTGAATAACTTGTTTGCACCATGAGTCAAAGAAAATTCCTCATTTGTGACTTCCTGTTACTTACAATAGCAGAAAAAAAGGGTTCTGATTTTGTGTGTGTGTGTGTGTGTGTGTTCAGGGCGGAGGGAGGCATCAGTAAAGGCGCCACTGTGGGAGTGCTCCTGGATCTGGTCAAACGCACACTGACCTTTTATATCAACAAAGAACAGCACGGCCCCACTGCCTTCGAGAACCTGGAGGGAGTGTTCGTACCTGCGGTCAGCCTCAACAGAAACGTGCAGGTCAGGGACTAATATCACGGTCATGGGATGAAGGGATGAAGCACACACACTGAGTTAAGAGTTTATTTATTTTGAGTTCAATGTACATCCAACTTTACATATCAGATGTCACTATATAGAATATTCTAACTAATCATTCATTAACATAGATAGATAGTCCTTTCCCACCCTCCCAGATTTGCAGGTGAATCGACAAGGCCACTTCAAATGCAGAGATGATGGATTAAATTACCATCCCTGTAAACAGCGAGTGACGAATCTTACGGTATCGATTTCTCTTGTTTATGTTTCAAAGTAATTATGCCTAACTGTGAGATTAGTGCGACAACCTGGATCACAGACTTTCTGCTTGGTAAAACTGTGGAGGGCGGGACATCAAAATAAAAACAATTACAAGATTTATGGGCTGTAAAAGTAATTTCAAAATTTGAATATCTCGGTTGAACTACTGTTATCAATTAAATAAGTATCAGAAAAGAGAATGGTTTAAGACTTTTTGACCCAGAACTGTCTTTTTGACTTTTTGATGTTCCGGGGTTTGTAATAATCTTGCAGATCTGATGACTGATGAGATCCAACTACATCTCTGTGACCTGACTTGGCTGGTGCTTCTGTGGCTGCAGGCTTGTTCTCTGTTGCAGAAGTCACCGTTTCCCTCTGATCTGGGCAAGGATCTTATTGTTGAACAGAAAGTGTGTAAACGAGAGGAATAATAAGAAAAACCAACATTCACTCTTTCTTACCATCTGATGTGAAAAAGAACTCCTCAGGGAACTCCAGACACTTTGCCTGCTTCTTATAAGTCTCCAAATGAGAAGGCTCCAGTTTGCCAGAGCGTGCTTTGGAAAAACATCACATGCAGACTTGCTTATAGTATTAAAGTATAATTTTGACTTTGTGACGGTGAAGATTGACATACTGAACAGGAAGAGGAAGCGTCCCATTGAGGTTCCATCAGGCCCACAAATGGTGTCCTCAGACAACAGGCAGTCAGCACAAGTCTCATAGAATTTCCCCTCTCGATATATAGTGTGGCCATTGTTATTATCTGAAAACATATTCAAACATTAGATTCCCAATAAAAAACGTTCTGTTTTAATCAGGCCTACAAGGGATTTAATGATCCTTTAACCTCATGATTCTCTTTGATATTTTATGTCATTTTATTTTCACAAATCTTTCTGTTGGACCAAACAAAATAGATTATTGATACAAAAAATAGAGAAAAAAGAGAGCTGTATGCTTACATGCACCGCGGACTGTTTGTCCAGACACAGTGGAATTGATCAGACCCTGGAGACAGCTGTCATCCTTTCTCCTGCAGAAGACAGATATGTACTAAATATCTTAAATAAACATTGAGGAGCTATTTGCCTTCATCGTGCAATTACATGCGATCGACCCAATAAACTGTCAAGTGCTCATTGTCTGCGTGAGCCGACACTTCCATCATAGTCGCTTTTAGAGAAAACAGGCCATCTTTGAGTTCTTCTTTGTCCCATGACGCAACATGGAGCACCCACTTCCCATATATCTGCCACCCAGACACACAGACAAAATGATAGAAAGTATGACAGTAATTTCAGATTTGCACGTCACACTCACCGGGCTGTGGCGGTCCAACACCAAAGGCTTGACAAGATTCTGACATTCTGGTTCAGCTGTAGCTCGCAAAAAGGCCAAGACCAGCAGAAAGACGTACAGTTGTGGAGCCATGACCACAACAGCGGGAAGTCCTGGGTCACACTGGTGTCCCGTCTTTCCCCCAGCCTCTCTAAAACCTCAGTAACTGGGATGGTCCAACTGCATACACACCTCCTTTATTGTTTCCAAAACATTCCATTACGTCAGTGGTTCTCAAACTTTAAGTACTCCCTCAGAAAAAACTTGCCGCTCCAAGTACCACCACAAATGACCAACACTACACACCACCACAAATGACCAACACTACACACCACCACAAATGACCAACACTACACAGTAGCGTAATAAGCCCAAGTATTCATCAAAAACAAGCCAGGGGTTTAATTCCTAAAGAAGTATATTTAATGTAACATTTTACACAGTTTCAACAGTAAGATATAAAATATAGGGGGGGAAAACTACTTAAGTAGTACTAGAATTTAATATGCTGCTATTCAGAATATATAACTACAATATGTGTTTATAATATTTCGGGTGTTCATTTTGACATGTTCAGATGAATTATGTTAAAAAAACAGGTGAAGTGGCACCTTTTAACAAACGCTAGGGGGCGCCAAAATGGCGGCGATGACGTAGGAGAATGACCTCTCACAGCAGCAGCAGTCTTAGCTGTAAACTGAACAAGGTATAAACATATTTTCATCAGTTTTGTACATAATAGTCCATCCATCCATCCATTTTCTTCCGCTTTATCCGTTGCCGGGTCGCGGGGGCAGCAGTCTAAGCAGAGACGCCCAGACTTCCCTATCCACACACACTTCCTCCAGCTCGTCCGGGGGGACCCCAAGGCGTTCCCAGGCCAGCTGAGAGACATAGTCCCTCCAGCGTGTCCTGGGTCTTCCGCGGGGCCTCCTCCCGGTGGGACGTGCCCGGAACACCTCCCCAGGGAGACGTCCAGGAGGCATCCGGAACAGATGCCCGAGCCACCTCAACTGGTTCCTCTCAACGTGGAGAAGCAGCGGCTCTACTCCGAGCTCCTCCCGTGTGACTGAGCTCCTCACCCTATCTCTAAGGGAGCGCCCAGCCACTCTGCGGAGGAAGCTCATTTCGACCGCTTGTATCCGCGATCTCGTTCTTTCGGTCATTACCCAAAGCTCATGACCATAGGTGAGGGAGGGAACGAAGATTGACCGGTAAATCGAGAGCTTTGCCTTTCGGCTCAGCTCCCTCTTTACCACAACGGTCCGATACAGCGACCGCATCACTGCGCACGCTGCACCGATCCGCCTGTCAATCTCACGCTCTATTCTTCCCTCACTCGTGAACAAGACCCCGAGATACTTGAACTCCTCCACTTGAGGAAGGACCTCTCCACCCTGCAGAGGGCAAGGCACCTTTTTCCGGTCGAGCACCATGGCCTCGGATTTGGAGGTGCTGATTCTCATCCCAGCCGCTTCACACTCGGCTGCAAACCGCTCCAGTGCATGTTGTAGGTCCTGGTTCGTTGGAGCCAACAGGACAACATCGTCCGCAAACAGCAGAGATGAAATCCTGTGGTCTCCGAACCGGACCCCCTCCGACCCCTGGCTGCGCCTAGATATTCTGTCCATAAATACAGTGAACAGAACCGGTGACAAAGGGCAGCCCTGTCGGAGGCCAACATTCACCGGGAACAGGTCTGACTTACTGCCGGTAATGCGAACACAGCTCTGGCTCCGGTCATACAGGAATCGGATGGCCCTCAACAGAGGACCCCCGACCCCGTACTCCCGGAGAATCCCCCAAAGGACACCCCGGGGAACACAGTCGAACGCCTTCTCCAAATCCACAAAGCACATGTGGACAGGTTGGGCGAACTCCCATGAACCCTCGAGTATCCGATGGAGAGTATAGAGCTGGTCCAGTGTTCCGCGACCGGGACGAAAACCATCCTCCTGGATCCGAGATTCGACCATCGGCCGTAGCCTCCTCTCCAGTACCTTGGAGTAGACCTTACCGGGGAGGCTGAGGAGTGTGATCCCTCGATAATTGGAACACACCCTCCGGTCCCCCTTCTTGTAGAGAGGGACCACCACCCCGGTCTGCCACTCCATTGGCACTGCCCCCGATCGCCACGCGATGTTGCAGAGACGTGTCAGCCAAGACAGTCCTACAACATCCAGAGACTTTAGATAATCAGGGCGGATCTCATCCACACCCGGAGCCTTGCCACCATGGAGGCTACCAACCACCTTGGTGACCTCAGCCAGGGAGATGGATGTATCCGCCCCAACATTCTCAGCCTCTGCTTCTGTAACAGAGGACGTGACGGGGGGATTGAGGAGAACCTCAAAGTATTCCTTCCACCGCCCGACAATATCCCCAGTCAAGGTCAGCAGCTCCCCACCCGCACCGTACATGGTGCTGGCAAAGAACTGCTTCCCCCTCCTGAGGCGCCGGATGGTTTGCCAGAATCTCTTTGAGGCCGACCGATAGTCATGCTCCATGGACTCTCCGAACTCCTCCCAGTCCCGGGTTTTTGCCTCTGCAACAGCCCGGGCCGCGGCACGCTTGGCCTGCCGGTACTGGACAGCTGCCTCAGGAGTCCCCCGAACCATCATGGCTCGATAGGACTCCTTCTTCAGCCTGACAGCATCCCTTACTGCCGGTGTCCACCACCGGGTTCGGGGGTTGCCGCCGGGACCAGCACCAGAGACCTTGCGACCACAGCTACGAGCCGCCGCATCGGCGATTGAGGCAGAGAACATGGTCCACTCGGACTCCATGTCCCCCTCCTCCGCCGGGACCTGGGAGAAACTCTCCCGGAGGTGTGAGTTGAAAGTCCGTCTGACAGGGGGCTCAGCAAGACGTTCCCAGCAGACCCTCACTATACGCTTGGGTCTGCCAGGTCTGACCGGCTTCTTCCCTTGCCAGCGGATCCAACTCATGACCAGGTGATGATCGGTTGACAGCTCCGCCCCTCTCTTTACCCGAGTGTCCGAGACACGCGGTCGAAGGTCAGATGATACGACAACAAAGTCGATCATCGACCTCCGGCCTAGGGTGTCCTGGTGCCACGTGCACTGGTGGACACCCTTGTGCTCAAACATGGTGTTCGTGATGGACAAACTGTGACTGGCACAGAAGTCCAACAACTGAACACCGCTCGGGTTCAGATCAGGGGGGCCGCTCTTCCCGATCACCCCTCTCCAAGTGTCACTGGCGTCTCCCACATGGGCGTTAAAGTCCCCCAGGAGAATGACGGAGTCCCCGGGCGGTGCACTGTCCAGTACCCCTCCCAAGGACTCCAAGAAGGCCGGGTACTCTGCACTGCTGTTAGGCCCGTAGGCCGTCACAACAATGAGAGACTTGTCCCCCACCCGGAGGCGGAGGGACGCGACCCTCTCATTCACCGGGGAGAACTCCAACACGTGGCGGCTGAGATGGGGGGCAATGAGAATGGCCACCCCAGCTCGCCGCCTCTCCCCGCGGGAAACTCCAGAAAAGTGGAGCGTCCAACCCCTCTCAAGGAGTTGGGTTCCAGAGCCCAAGCTGTGTGTGGAGGTGAGGCCGACTATCTCTAGTCGGTATCGCTCAACCTCCCCCACAAGCTCGGGCTCCTTCCCCCCCAGTGAGGTGACGTTCCACGTCCCAAGAGCCAGCTGTTGTGTGTGCGGACTGGGTCGCCGAGGTCTCCGCCTTCGACCGCTGCCCAGTCCTCTCTGCACCGCTTCGCCACCACGGACCCCTCTGCGGGTGGTGGGCCCACAGGAGGGACTGCCCACGTCGTCCATTCGGGCTGAGCCCGGCCGGGCCCCATGGGCTAAGGCCCGGCCACCAGGCGCTCGCATACGAGCCCCGACCCCAGGCCTGGCTCCAGGGTGGGGCCCCGGCTGCGCCATGCCGGGCGACGTCACTGGTTTCATAATTGTGCTGTCCATGGTGTCTTCTGGACTGCTCTTTGTCTGACTCGTCACCTGAGACCTGTCTGCCATGGGAGACCCTACCAGGGGCATGAAGCCCCAGACAGCATAGCTCCCAGGATCATCCGAGTACTCAAACTCCACCACCACGTTAAGGTGGCAGTCCAGGGGGGAGTAACATAATAGTACATAATATTGTGCAACTCTTTTAACCTTTTAGCCTTATTTGTGAGATTCAAGCTAATTAGTGTTGGGCAAGTTAGCTAACTCTACTTGATATCATAAAACATGCTAACAAGGCTAATATTCGTTTTTACATTATGCCAGTCTCACTTTGGTTACTTTAGATTTATTTAATTGATTTTGAACACCCGAAATATTATGAACACATATTGTAGTTATATATTCTGGATAGCAGCATATTAAATTCTAGTACTACTTTAATACAATTATTCAATTAAAATGTTCAATTCATCCATCATATATTTTAAATTTTTTAAGTCAAGCGTTTTAACACAGATTACATCCTTTTGCCTGATTCTTTAGTGAAAAGCATTTCACTTTAAAACATTTTTTACAAACCAGTTTGTAGGTTTTCTAAAATGTAATTGTAAATGTAGTGGTGTAAATTTCTGTGTGAGATTATTTTATCTTATCTTAATTTGTGTAGTCAGGCAATGTTTTTACAGTTCGATGTGTGCCCTGTTCAAATGATACTGTGATAAAAAGTAACTTTTTGCACACTTTATTCAAAATGTTATATTTTTGTGGAACAGTCCTCGCCAGTGACGTGCGGTCAGATGAGCAGGTGAGGCCTCACCTATCATCATGGGAAGAAAAAAGAATACAATGGAAATAATAATACTTGGTCACTACATCAAGTGATTTATGTTATTGTATTATTTTCATGAAATAACATGATAAAAATCATATCATATAATTTGGTATCATGAAAAAACATGATCCGTATTAATTGTACGAACATGAAATTATCTTGAAATAACATGAAAGTATTATGAATTAACATGATACCAGCGGAAAAAAACACACTCACAAGTGAACCTAACAAGCGTCCGTACAATTTAAACATCAAAGTGCTACAGATTGAAATTCAGTACAACAAATAAGAAAACGAGGAAAAAAAGTCTCAGGCTGTAGATCCAGGACTGA